ATCAAAATCAATTCAAAAGGTGATATTCGTAATCACCGTGAAATTTTGCATCGAATGATATAGTTTTAAGTGAAAAATAAGAACTTGCAATTCTTTTGAATTAGCGGCGCCTTACGTTTACCAAAGAATAATCTCACAGTCTATACGGCCACATGTAGCGATCTCTTCAGAAGATCAATGTCGCTAATTACTCAAAAAATCTATTAAATTTCCTTTGAATCGTTTACTATAGAAAGTGAGTTAAATGGTGGACGGCGTATTTTAAATCTTCAGAAACTAGCTAGAGAGTGACGGATATGGCGTCACGTCTTCCATGAGAGTAAAATATAAAATGTCTCAGAACCTGTAGTAAAGCTAGACCTGATATTTGCGTATTGATAATACTCAAGGAGATCTATAGGCTCATGAGACTAACAGCTGCATACAATGAAACTGGGTTTTTCAGATAGACTTTTTTTACATATGCCTTTAAACATCAGTAAAACAATGCGTCTTTTAAAGTAGATATACGTGAATAATTATTGTTTGTTATACAACAGAAAAGATAAAAATTATAAAAGTTATGTGTTTCCCTTTTAATCATTTTCAATTATTCACTACGTGGATTCAGATTATGATGATATAATAAATGAATTGATAAAAATTATTCATATTTAGATTAGAATGAGACAGTTAATTGAAAACTAACATAGAGAGATTAATAGCCGAAAAAGAGATAAGAAACTATTGAACTTCAACGGATTATCTATTTTCTGTCCTTGATTAGTTTGCTTATTCAAAAGTTGTGAAATAATTTGTTTTAACAGAAAAGTGTAACTTATAACGTTCACATTTTAGAAAAATACATAATTTTCAGGGTAAGACTAAACACACTGCGTATATCCAGAATAATAAAAGTATATTTATCAAAACTTTTATTAACTCACTGTATATCAAAAAGTACACAAAAACTAACAAGAGAAAAACGAATTCGAAACTTTTCTTCATTTCACTGTATTTTTCTTTTCTTTTCTGCTTTATTGACCCCTGGACTCATGCACATGTAGCAGGCCATGCGAGTAACGTAATATCTCGAACTGTCAACATAGAGAAAAGAAATAGATTAGTAGCAATTGCTTTTTACACTACGGTTATTCAAAACACTTTTGGAGACTGTTTAATTAAAGCAAAGGTAAATTTAATGTAGCATTAAACACAATTTATCTTAAGTTGTTACGTTGGCGGAATGAGTTTACATATCAGTTTTATTTGATTTCTTTCATTTCTATTGCACAACTTTACTAACTGGGTATGAAATGTTGACTTTCAAGCAAGAGCGTCATTAATATCATACGAAATCGTTCGAATATGATGTAGCAGATATGAAATCCGTTGAGTTTTCAAGAAATTTCCTTTCAAGATCGACAGTTTCGCACAATAAATGGAAAAAAGCTAAGATCTAGCTTATTTCAGATCGTAGGAAGACCTTTGAAGATTTCTCAAAATAATCATTTTGTCATTAAAAAGACTAATTCATCGATATATTTTAACAGTCGAAGCAAAATCGGTTCGGCGGGACTTTTGTGATCATTTTCAGTTCAGCGAGAAAATTTACTAAGTTTCACTTTAAAGAGAGCTTTGTTCTGTGTTTTGTTAGTTGTACTATTTGTTTGATAGCTCACTGCGCATGTCTGAAATAATTTCTTTTCACTTCAGGGTACAAAAATGGAAGAATTCGTATATCCTGCGTCTGTTACGAAGGCCGACGAACGTGTGCTGGATAATTTATCAACAACATCCTCTTCTACGGAGGCCGACGAACGTGTGGTAGATAATTCATCAATAATGCCCTCTTCTACGGAGGCCGACAAACGTGTGGTAGATAATTCATCAATAGTAACCTCTTCTACGGAGGCCGACGAACGTGTGCTGGATAATTCATCAACAACACCCTCTTCTACGGAGGCCGACGAACGTGTGGTAGATAATTCATCAATAGTAACCTCTTCTACGGAGGCCGATGAACGTGTGCTGAATAATTCATCAATACTAACCTCTTCCACGGAGGCCGATGAACGTGTGCTGAATAATTCATCAATACTAACCTCTTCCACGGAGGCCGATGAACGTGTGCTGAATAATTCATCAACAATGTCTTCTTCTACGGAGGCCGATGAACGTGTGCTGTTTAATTCATCATCAATGACCTCGTCTGAATCATTAGTCTCAACATCGATGCGGCCTGTATCACCAACATGGGCGCCATTGAATATTCCGTTATCTCGTCGTCGTGAAACATTAACCGTTTTTGTTTGGTTCATCTTGCCATGGAGTTGTCTGTCGTTATCCGTTTACCTATTACGGACAGATAGCTGGTATGTGTTTTCTGCTATCGTATTATATCTGTCGTGGATGATGTTTTTTCAAGATTATCCTCGTCATGGTGGTTTCAAACAGCAATGGTTACGTCGTCTGGTCTGGTGGCATTGGTTTCGAGATTATTTTCCCATTCGATTACATAAAACATGTGATTTACCGGCTGACAGACCCTATATTTTTGGTTATCATCCACATGGTATCATTTCACTAGGAGCATTCTGTAATTTCGCAACAGAAGCGACGGATTTTGAACACAAATTTCCAAATATCAATTTGAGACTTTTGACACTAAAAGCCAATTTTCGTTTTCCGTTCTATGGTTTTTATTTAGCGGCCTTGGGGTTGTGTGATGCATCGAAAGAATCGTGCAATCTTATTTTGGGAAAAGGTAACGGTAACAGTATCATGTTAGTGTTAGGTGGTGCCAAAGAGAGTTTAGATGCCCGACCTTCCGATGAATATTTTCTCACGTTGAAAAATCGTAAAGGCTTTGTAAAAATTGCTCTTCAGAACGGTGCTGCATTGGTACCCGTCTTTTCATTTGGTGAAAATGATCTATATGATCAAGTATGGAATCCAAGAGGATCAAAATTGAGACATTTTCAACTACAAATACAACAGCGAATTGGTTGGGCGACACCGTTGTTTCGTGGACGAGGTGTGTTTCAGTATGCTGTTGGTTTTCTACCCAAACGTCGAGAAATTGATACGTACGTTGGTTCACCAATTTTACTACCAAAACTAGATAAAAACGAGATAACACCAGAAATTATTGATAAATATCATCAGCAGTATATGAAGGAACTTGAGGAATTATTCGATACATACAAGGGAAAACATGGTAAAGAAAATGCGAAACTCAGATTTGTTAATGATAAAGAATAATTTGGCAATGCGCTTAATCTTTCCCATTTTTCGTTCGTTTTTCAATTGACTGACATTTAGTATCTTGTTAGAATACGTTTCAGTAGAATAAGATATTTCATTCCTTATCATCTAATCATTTATTTTCAAAATGTAGCGTTCATCTGTTATTTTCTGTTCTACCAAACAATGGGATCATGTATTTATTTCGTTCATATGATTAAATTGATTACAATCCTCCTAGAGGTCTGATTTTTTTAGAAGTCGACATAGCGAGAAACGGGTCTTCGTCTCGGCGGTGTCCAGACAGCATTTCAACCAGAAGAACTAGACGTCTAAAGATGAAATCTTTACCACACACAAGTAGTATAAACATAAGCCGATGCCTATCTTTTTTCGTTCTCTAAAATCTGATTCTATGATTTAAAACAATTTCAAATTAAGAAAAGTATTGTGGAGATATAAAAACTTGTGTAATTCAGAACTCGGAATAGAAAAAGTTTTGAGAGTCGAAATGGTTCTCATTTAGAACAGGATCTTTGATTCTATGCAGAGACATGTGAAAGTCAGTTTTGCAATATTTTTGATATTCCAGTTTGGAAAGGACGTACTTTTACACCTTTCTTCACAAAGTGAGACGATAATAAATAACAGAAATTTTGCTATACGAACAAAAACTATGACGGTGTAACGGAAAACATGTGTATGCATGAAATAGTTTTAACGAGTTTTGAAAGAAAAATACTAGAAATCTTTTGTTTTCAAATTTTGAAAGAGGACCCCCGGGGGGCATAAGTCTATGCTAAAACGAGTCCTTTCCGACAGCACTACTATATTGTACCTTTCAAAACAAAATGTCTGAGTTTGGCATTCCAAAAATCCTCACAGTGAAGTGCTGCTCTAAAAGTAGGTGGGCATAGAATAGACGTCGTTCTACAACCTGACACAAATCCCACACCTTCATCAACCGTAATTCGGACCCTACAGGCAATCTTCGAGGGCCTGTCTACTGGCTAAACCTGCTCTCTGCACTGTAAAAAATAGTCGGAGATTAATAAACTATCAAAAAGGGTTTATTGAGACCAATAAACCTTTTAAAAAGCGCTTTTCCGTTTTTTATATCCAAAAAACTAAAAAGCGTTCGTGACAGATGCAAAATGAAAAACGGGCGGTTTTTTATCTAACATAAAAAACCCTTTTTAGTTTTTTGTCGAGTTTAAAATATCAGCTAAAAAACTCTTCAGTTTTTTTAGAAAACTGAAAAGGGTTTTTTATTTTTTATAAAAAACCGCCCGTTTTTCATTTTGCATCTGTCACGAACGCTTTTTAGTTTTTTGGATATAAAAAACGGAAAAGCGTTTTTTAAAAGGTTTATTGGTCTCAACAAACCCTTTTTGATAGTTTATTAATCTACGACTATTTTTTACAGTGCGAAACCTCAAAGTACCTCTCTCCCCTAAAGAAAGTTTAGCTTCCACTCTGAGAAAAAAAATCTGTTTATTAACTTAATAATTATCGGCTAGAAACAAATAAGTGGATGAACATGTGGAAGAATAAAGCTCTTATTTTCCGCTAAAGTCATCTGTGAAAAACTCTTGTTACTTAACGCTTTTTCAATAATGAAAAATTTAGATCTCACAACACATTTTATCAATACAACTATCTTTATCGCTTTGACTATGTTTTGTTTCAAGTGTTCACATTTCTTTTCATAATATTATGATTTATTTCTGAAAATTATTATCGTTGGATATTCATTTACACTAAAATAAATTCAACTAGAAAAATCTAAATAATTATTTAATTTTTAAATAGCTCGTATAAGACCTTTTCTTCTGTAGGTAACAATCATACGACAGTCGAAAATATATTTTTATATATAAATGATATGCACTTTTACATAAAAACAGATTCTTTTCTTTATTTTCATAGGACATAGTGCATATCTGACACATAGAACAAATAATAAAACATTTTTTTTTTGTTCTATTAGATGTCTTATGTCCTCTGTCCTGTGATATAGGTATGCAACAGAACACAAAAGAAAATACAAAATTTCGCACGTGCATGATTATTGCTCATTCATTTTAATATTCAATCGGATAAAACTTGATATAATATCATTCACGTGGACAGGAATAGATTCATATATTTAAAATCATATATCTTGTGATTCTAAATGGAACTAGTTTTCACTAAAATTTAAGTGAACACGGTACAGTAGCGATACATTATAGTGGTAGAACATCATTAGATATAATTGTGCAATAAATCAACAGCTCAATTTTTCGACTCATTATTTTCGTTTGGAATATATGTGTATAACAAAATTTTCTATTTCGAGTAGTGAGATCAAGCCATTTTTTAATTTTTTCAAATTTTTTGTTTTTCTCTTTATCAGTCAGATATAGTGTGGACGACTTTCTAACTCTTTTAAAACAATAGATTAATCATTTAACTATTACAAAGCAAAAGTAACAGGATTGATTCTTTGCTCTTTTTGTTTTTAATGAAATCCTCTTGGTAATATTGAAATTCATCGCCAACTAAATTTTCCGTTTTAGGTTATCACAAGGTATCCACGGATGTCACAAGTCTTTTGTTCTTTTTTGCGATATCCTGCTCCTGAGTAAAATAAAATCTTATCTTATCTATCTTTGCTTGGTGTTCTTATTAGGAACATTTTTCCTAATAAGAACGGAACTAATCAAACTATCGCTGATTCTTCCTTTGTATCTGAATTTAATTAATTGCTTTATACATCGTAGTTTTACATTTTGTAGTATAAAAAAATGTATAGATCGGCGAAGAAATTATTTTACAATAGAGAAAAACTCTATAACTTAAAATATCATTCATTCTATAGAAGACTTAGGCTTCTAGCCTTAAGCATCATACAAAAAACCACTTTTTACCGGAAGAATGAGTTTAAAACTTTTTTACGCTTGAATGTTGAATTAAGAATCCTAACCCGTCTTCCATTGATTATCTTTCATAAAATTGATCTAGTAACAAGAAACTGTTAAGGACACTTTTTACTCTTTTCTTCCTATGAAATTGCAACCTTCGGCCATGAAAACAAATCAATACACCATTTGTTCTCTTGTTGATAATCGATGCCGACAAGAACCTGGAATGTAATTAATAGAAATAGGGCCAGAAGCTTTTGCATCAGATTCTTCAAATAAAAAGCACTATAATTACTCTACATTCAGTTTTTTTCATTTTATTTGTGATCATTAAAATTTTAATTTTTGCTAGTTCTTTCAATGGTGATCTACATCCATTTCTTCGATTTCATCAAATAATACATAGTAAAAACGAGAACTTCGGAAAAGAATAGAAGTTTTCCATGTTAAAAATGACATTTATTTGATAGTTTCATACACTTATTAATGTTGGTGTCTATTGTTTAAAAATTTTATCTCTTTCCACTTATCACTGGCAGTGATAAGAGAAAGTTTAACCTAATCTAACCCATATGTTAGGTTAGGATTAGGTTACAAAAGTTATATATGAGGTTGAAAGTTATGTCGTAATTTTTTTCGATCTCGTTCCCCTTTTGCACAGGCGAAATTTTTTTCTGATTTTAAGTCATCCACGCCCATGATTATATTATTCTTTAAAAGGCAAGAAACTCAATGACATATAATATGTTTACTTGTTGTCAAATATGCGTGTAACATTCTGTGGGTTGAAAACAAAAAAATCACAGTTTATGTTAGATTAGGACTAGATTGCCGACTTCACCGGTTAGATTACGATTAGGTAATAGGTTGCCAAAAATTGGCAACCTGCAGAGCTCTAATCACTGCTGAAAATTTAACTAATACATATTTTTCACCAGGGTACTCAAAGGCTAAGCAGTGATACATAGAGATTTTTCATAGGGATAATCTTGATCGCAACTTGAATAGTTTATGTTTGCTTATAGACATGCTCACTTTGTCTAGCGAACGACTTATTAACGACAAAGTGAGCATGTCTATAAGCAAACATAAACTATTCAAGTTGCGATCAAGATTATCCCTATGAAAAATCTCTATGTATCACTGCTTAGCCTTTGAGTACCCTGGTGAAAAATATGTATTAGTTAAATTTTCAGCAGTGATTAGAGCTCTGCAGGTTGCCAATTTTTGGCAACCTATTACCTAATCGTAATCTAACCGGTGAAGTCGGCAATCTAGTCCTAATCTAACATAAACTGTGATTTTTTTGTTTTCAACCCACAGAATGTTACACGCATATTTGACAACAAGTAAACATATTATATGTCATTGAGTTTCTTGCCTTTTAAAGAATAATAGGATCTTTGATTCTATGCAGAGACATGTGAAAGTCAGTTTTGCAATATTTTTGATATTCCAGTTTGGAAAGGACGTACTTTTACACCTTTCTTCACAAAGTGAGACGATAATAAATAACAGAAATTTTGCTATACGAACAAAATCTATGACGGTGTAACGGAAAAAATGTGCATCCATGAAATAGTAAAAGTTTTAGTGAAGAACAAACAACTTTTAACGAGTTTACCATCATGTATAATCCAACAGTTGTAACACATAAACACTCATTGTTATTCACATAAAAAATGAAATTATTCTCTCGTTTAATCCTTTCTTACTTGAGAAATATGTCAGTCAACGAATATCTTTATTATTGTTTATTTGCTGTTAACAACAACTCACTATTAAAATCAAAAGGCATTTGTTTCATTACACTGAAGGACAATCAATTTTCTTCTGCATGATTTAAATATAGAAAAGGTAGGACCATACAAAGTCAGAATCTACTTATTAGAAGTGATATTCTGAAAAACAAAATGATTAGAAATAGTCAATATGATTCTATAAAACTATAGAGATTATTTGATGCGCAATGTTCAACGCCAGATACGATATACACAGGAACTTATTCGGTTTTATTGTGTGAGAATTTTTTTCAATGTTTCAAAATATGACTAATGTAGGATAAACTAACAATAAATTCGACTAGTAGTGGTGAGCTTAAAGACCAATTAAGAATAATCAGATTAACTTCATCGTATGCATGTGAGTAAAAGATTAATAAATAACCAGATAGAAAACATCAAACGCATTTAACGTTAAGGAAATCTGTTCTCAAAAAGTTGTAGTGTTTTCGTTAAAGTTAAAGTATTGTTATCTATGCAGGAGCATTCCTTATGTTCAACAGTACAAGTAACACTTCATTTGTTCAGTCACGTGGATCATGGTCTGTTAAAAGTGAGCCTCAAAACTATGAACAAATTTACGATTATTTTCGACAAATATTAATCAATTGTTCCAAATCCGTTGATACAATCGAACAAAGCTATTATCATCAACACCAGTCATCTGTTCGAACTACACTGACAACGTGGTCAAAACCGTTGAATGATCTCCGAAATTGTCGTCAACTACAAGAGATTCGAAATGGAAAAACTATTCGTGATTTATTAAATGATATTAAAACTGGTGAGTTTATTATTGGACCGGTATCAAACGAGTCAATTTTGTTATTAAGACGAATAACGGAGAGAACAAATCAAATCTTAAACACCAAGTTGCCAGAGTTAGCAAAAACAATCGAAGAATGTATGAGTCAAATGGAACAATATTTTCTCTCCTTCTATCAAATTGAACACGTTCAAGACATTGTACTACAGAGAAGAAAAGAAAAATTACCTGTAAGTTAAATAATGTTATTGAAATATCGACTATTTATCAGAAAAATGATCATAGCACATTTTTAGGATGAGAATGTTGAAACAGCCTATACATACGAAAAATGTCGATGGGAACATATGACGGCTGTCAATAAATCGATGCGATTGATACAGGATATGAAGATGACAGTAGAAAATGTGAAAGGTGTTCAAATGGCTCAATTGAGTCGTGAATGTCAAGAATTAGCCATTCGAACCCATCTTCAATATTTGCCATATGTTTTCGCTGTACCCGAGTGTTTTGTGGAAGCAAGAAAAGCGATAAAAGAATTAGAAACATGGCTGGAAGAGGATACATTATACAACTCGTTTATTCTGAAGTAAGTTGAACTTTAAAAACTATCGAATGAGTTTTTCATTCATTTCAATTGTAGATCAATTAAAAAGTTGGATGAAAAAGTCAATAATGCTAAAAAGGAATTGAACCAGGCCAAAACACAATTAATTAATATTGAACACAAAGTACGATTTTCAGATAAATCAGTCGAATCCATTTGAAATCACGACCATTACCTACTATTGAATTCAACACAATTTTGTTTCTCAAATTCCTGCTAAATTCAGACGACGAAACAGCTATGAGTTTTAGTCCATTTTTCTTCTATAGAGATCGCTGATTCCCGTTCTTCTTACTACAGATTTTGCACAGCTACGGTTTAAAGAATTATGTTCATAAGTTTCAAAATGCATAAAACTTTTCATAAAAGAATCCAATTTCGAAAAATGATAGGATAGGACATTAGCAGTAGAGTCCACTTCAACTTTTTGTTTTGCATAGCCTTAGGAATATGTCGTAGAAATATGTAAAGGATAGTACTCTACTTTTAACTTAGTAGGTGTCCTCGTTTTACGTAAAATTATAAATTTTAGTTCTACGCAAACTCTAACTTTACATCGGAATCATTTTTCTTTCATCCGGTTTTAAACGGATAGAAGTAAGCTGATAAATTCATTAGGCATGCCACAGTTTTTTTTGTGTTTTTCAAAAAGTGGTTTGTATTTTCGCAACAACGAACTGTGAAATTTTCTGAAATCAGCGGTTTTGTAGAGCAAACATTTCTCTACAAGATAGCATATAGTAGATATTTTTAAACTTGCTTGGTTTCTTTAAAAACATTTTTGATAGCACGACTCAGGAGTTATTCAACTGATTTCAGAAAATTTCACAGTTCGTTGTTGCGAAAACACAAATCATTTTTTGAAAAATACGAAAAAAAACTGTCGTATGTAGGACTGTAAAAGTTGCCGTTGTGTTCATTTAACGCTAACTGACAACACAGTTACCGGTGTTTTAACGCTAACTGTCTTTTCAGTTATCGTTGAAATAACGGTAACTATCAGTTAGTTAACTTTGGGGTAACTATTTCTTAATTATGGCAGAAATATCCAGGCAGCGGCTTAAATGGCTTCCAAAATTGTTAGTTTTCCACTAAAACTGTTGAAACTTTCATAAACGACATGATTTTGATTGGCACACACGTGCCAGTCGACCAAACCAATCGGAATTATATAACTTCAGGGTTTTGTAACTGCAGTTTTTAAGGTCTCTGGAGACCTCAGCATCTACGGCCAGCTTGAGAAATCTTTTTTGTTTTCATCAACGAAATTAGACTGCAAAACCATGTCATTTATGAAAGTTTCAACAGTTTTAGTGGAAACTAACGATTTTGGAAGTAGTGGCGTAACCAGGAATCCGTGGGTGATAGGGCAGTGCCCCCCAACCTTTAAAATAATCCACCCACGATAGTTTAAATTTTTTCCACAACTGAAATACAGTTGCTCAATTTTCACTTTCTTAAGAGAAAGACAATACACTGTATCTGCACTTTTATAAGTGAAATCATGTGAACAAAAGAGAACAAGAAAATGAAATAAATAAACAAATAATAGTTATTTCAACATTATTCGACAAAAATCTTACGAGGAAAGGACACCAAGTGATAAATCGCTTCTAGCTTAAAACTTAGTGAACAATAGGTAATCGAATGTGCTGATTCCGGATACTAACATGAGACGGGCCGCTAGGCCTCCAAAGACTGGATTTCTAGAAAACCAGTTTTTCATAAACTCCAAAAACTCTCCAAAACTTTTCTTAATAAGTTAAAATTGTAGCGCGCGAAATTCTGATCACAATGAGACATTGCCCAGCTCTACATGATATTTCTTTGCAAAGTTATGGAATTTACAAGAAAAGCCCTAAATGTTCATTGTCAGCTCAAAGCTACAGAAGAAATTAATGTAGGGCTTTTCTTGTAAATTCCATAACTTTGCAAAGAAATATCATGTAGAGCTGGGCAATGTCTCATTGTGATCAGAATTTCGCGTTTTTCGTTTTTCTACAAACGCGCGAAGACAAATAGAAGTAATCTGAGCGGTAATGAAATTAGTTTGCAAATAATTTAAGAGAAAATAAATGAAATAATACTGAAATGACGTGAAGAGCAACATGGGTACACGAGTGAAAATGTACACAAAACTCTACAGGTAGGTTGTATATGTACCGAAACTAAAATACGTTTTCTTCCGAACCGACAATAAAAAGATATAGAATTTTATAAAACAAAATAAATAAATATAAAATTTTTACATCACATCACGAACAAAAATCACCAAGAGGTAAAAACCATGCTTTTCGTTTTTTTAATGGTAATAAGTAACAAAGAATACGCATGACAAACAAACTTTGCTGTTCATAACTACTCTAAAGAAGTGTCGTAGTGTAAAGGTCTGTATTCTCTCTAACATTTTAAAAAATACTCTTTTGTATAATATAAACGATATCTCATCAATGTTAAATAGAATCTTGTAAGAAACAATCGTCGGCCTTGTGTCATCACTATAATGTTACAGTGTTATCCTGTTCTACTCGTCGCAAGAGTTCCAAAGAAATGTTCTTTAAGGTACACAATACTTTCATGCAAAGGAAGACTAAAGTGGAACGAAATGATATAAAAATCTTTCTGACGAGAGACATAGTGTTTATTACCTGCATTAATCAAAATTTCTCACTTGATCCCTGTCATCAGTATTGAATTGCTTCATTAAGACGTTTTGTCAGCCACCTGTCTAGACTTCTCATATATTGACTAATCAGACGAGTGTTTATGCATGAATGACAGTCTAAAAAGAAAGAAGGCGATTCCCCTTCTACTCGTAGGATGGCGATAATGAAAAATTATTCTAACTGAATTGCATAGAGCAAACTGATAATTTCCTGACATTAAGAGCCATTATCCGAGAGAAGCAGACAGTCACCCATAGGCAGTGAGTGACACTTATTCCTAATAAAAAGAAATGTAATAAAAAGTAATAAATAACATTCTGTCCGTAATAGTGAAGAGCACGTTTCGATTGAGCAAGACTGAAGAGAAAAGAAAATAAAAAAAGTGAAGTGGGCCTGACCGGGGATCGAACCCGGGGCCTCTCGCACCCAAAGCGAGAATCATACCACTAGACCATCAGGCCACGTGAGAGTAGCTTAACAGATCGCAATTCTTCGTTTCAATGATGGTTTTCCCCATGTTGGATTTAAATGTTCTCTATAAACGTGCCTCCCAGATGCACAATCTTGCTTTTGTCTCGCCGCTATTCGCTATAGAAAGTTGCGGCAAGTACGCGTAACGCGATCACAGTTATGATCGGGAAATAAGAGTCTTGTTTTATGATTGCGGTTTTGTCGAATATTTTCATACGTGATAAAATTGATCGCTTCGACCTTTGATGGCATTCTTAAAGATCAACGTCTTTTAGACTTCGAAACGAAAATAAAGTAAAACCGAATTTATTGGGCTGATGCCGATTTTGAAAACATTGAGTATAAACATCAATTATGCCAGAATGCTCAGAAAGATGGATACTGAACGAATCAAAGAAAATGTTCAATTCAACAAAGACTATGCAAAGGACGAAAAGCGAGACGAGAACGGAGCGTGAAGGAAGCGACACTCAGAGATAATGATCCCAATCAATACGGGTCTGATGAGATATAGAAAAACACATAATTATCTTCACATAACTTTGCAATCACATTTTCTGCATTTGTATCTTCTTCTACTGGCGTGTACGTAGTTGCAGTTTTCGCGTTAGCTTTCGCAGCCATGCTTCGCTTTATTCTCAAGGATAAACAGAGAGACTTACAACTATTATTTATTATAAGATAACATATGGGAAATTTTGTTTTCGACTCTTTCTTTTTATCCATTCTTCAGCACGTACACAGATATATTTATTCATCATAGCATATTTTCACATTTAAGGGGGGGGGGCCCATTTAGATTTTCCTCTAGCGTTCTCAGTTTGTAGAGGATACTTCGAAGTATATGTTCTGAAGTTTTCTCAACTTACTTACATTATTTAGCTGAGAAAAAAAATTAATTACTTAAGAGAATAAAAAAATGTTGTTAAATGTTTGAGCACGGGGTTATTATTACAAAGTTTCCCGTCTATTCTCCATTCATCATAAAAACTTAGTTCTTGCCTAGATCGATGGAGAAATGTGTGGAGAATATTTACGACGAGGAAATATGTAAAAAGTTTTGTTCTTTTCTTCCGGTTATTGACTAATTAGTACTAATTAACGTTAATTTAGCCTACTCTACTAGCATAAAGTCTTATTTGTAAAATAGCAGCGCGACAAAAAAATTCGCAATACCTCATCTGACAGAGAATTTCACGGGCTACAATATAGTCTACCTTAAAAATTTTAGAATTCATTTTTGGTCGCTCGGTAAGTCTGATAAGTCCAAAATTTAACAATATTGTTTTAAATAATTAAATTTTTTCTCAGCCAGATAGCTTCAGTAACTCGAGAAAACTTCCGAATATATACTTCGAAGTGTCCTCTACAAATCGGGAAGGCTTGAAGAAAAAATTTAAAACTTGAAAATATCGCTGATGTTTGGCTCACCGAAGATTTTTTCACCTCACCTTACGGCTAGTTTCGCCTGAACCAAGCATTTTGAAGCAAAACTGTTGGTACAAAAGTTGTTCAGAATCAAATTTTGCAGTCCCTCACGAGAACTTTTTTTAAAATTTTCTGGTTTTGGTTTTTAAATTCAATTTTACGGTTTTTAAAATCCTAAAATTTCATATTTTTCAATTTAAAAAGCAAAAAACGAAAATTTTAAAAAAGGCTCTCGTGAGGGACTGTAAAATTTGATTCTGAACAACTTTTGTATCAAGAGTTTTGTTTCAAAATGCTTGCTTCGAGCGAAATTAGCCGTAAGGCTTTTTTCAAAATACTTTTAGCGATAAAATTTCCTCGGGAAGGTGAAGGTTAAATTTCTCCGTCAAAGTTCATTTGGGAACGATGTAAAGTTTTTCTCCTTATAAAAATTAATGTCCTCTATCGAACTACGCCAGAATCAACTCTTCATATCAAAAAATGAAATTATTGAAATTTTAGAAACAGGGCAAAAAAACCCGAAAAAAAACTTAAAAATTTTTTTATCAAAAACTATAAATCCGGGAACTGAAAGCTTTGTTGAGACGTATACGTCGAAGTGTCCTCCACAAACTGCTGGAAAAAAACGGGTGGGCGGACCCTCCTTAAAAGAAAATAGAAATATAGATATCCAACGAGAAAAAATAGATAACATTAGAAATATATTTTCGCTTACGGATTATGAATCTACGAACCATGGTTCCAAACTTGCAATCGGAAAGTGTACTGGAGTATTGACTAACTCATAAGAAAAAGCTTTTTTACCATAATACCATTATATAAAAGCCAAAAAGCATTGAAAACTTATCCGCATATGCTTCCATACGCTACTGCGTATGCAGCATATGCCTCTGCACATATCCGTCGGATAAAGCAAGATCTATAACCTACAGAAAATGTAACTTTTATTAGCATAAAACGTATAAATTTCATCAAAATCAAGAGAAAATTAAAAAAGTTCTCAAGAGCGGTTGCTGTAAGTCGCCTAGAAACCCTTTCTCGCCTGTTTCAGACTCTAATACTATTCTAGTATGAAAGAGGGCACCTTAACGTATTTAAATCAGTCGAAAACCATAAATCGATTTTTTTGACCAAAAAGAGGGGGGTACCCTTAATAGAATGATTAATTGTAACTGGGCTTTGAAGAAAACACTGCTAAAGAACAACGGCAGTGAGTTGAGTCATCGAATCACACCATAACATTAACAAACGGATTAACAAATATTAGAAACGTTTATTTCATTGTCAATGTTTGTGCACTGATTACCATCCGATGGCGTATTTGTAAGTATAAGTTGAGTCTAGCTTATACTCTAAATTCAAAAAATCGTCTCTTTTCTTTTCTCTTAGAAACAACGTCATCTACATATCGTATTCTTCGAACATTACAACAATGGACAAAACATAAGGAAAATGAAATGGGATATCCTGTCTACATCGAAACTCCGCGTGTGGTCATAAAATAAAAAAAGCATTTTTTTCTATTCATTTAGATTACTAGTTGAAAAAGAACTCTTAACTGAATGCGTCGATAATGCATTTACAAGTTTTCGATATCTTGCTTTAAAATGGCATTAATAGATTTCTCTGGTTTCAACCTCCAACCTACCGCAAGAGAGGGTGGCACTAACGCGCTTTAGCCATTGGGTACATAGCTATTTTTGGATATTGTATATAATAACGCTGACTGTCGATATTGAGTTATCAGTTTGCAAAAATTTTTCACATCTTTCATGAGATCAGGAAAATTAGGTAAACATATATCAGAAATAAACTAGCGACAACTGTGTTTCGAGTATATACAACGCTTTCTCTGTGAAATCAATTCCGAGCCAAAAAGATGTTTTCTCATATGGATAAATGGCACTGAGTGTCTTTAACTGTATAATTTTGTCGTGTGTGTTCGAACGTTATCCGTGACCACTTGTATTGTGTGATTCCTGTATTCCCGTTTGAATTTCAATAACATTAACAACCTCTCGAATTGCTCAAAAATAATTGAATTGTTGAAGTATGCATCACGACCAGCATGAATCGAGGCAGTTGCACTGCTTGGAACTTAGTGGACACCAGTTGAAGTTTCCAGTTAAAATTAGAAATGAAACAAAGCTTAAATACAAACTAAACTCATCAATATTACGACACATCGTAATGTACTAGAAAAGATCGGATAGACAAAAGCAGAACCTATTTTTGTCGAGTTAAGAGGGCTAGAACAAATTCATGACTATATCGGGTGATCAACTGGTAAGACTGCTGTCGGAACTTCATACATTTTGCGAAAGCGCCCCTGTTCTTCTGATTATGAAAATTTCTTGAAATTCTTGCAATTCCTGTAACACTTGCATCGAAGTTAGACTTATTTTTGTTTCAATGTTTCTCAGATTCTATTTTGCATTCGCACGTTATGCTTTTCAGTTTGATGCAAAGTGGTTTCTTAAATTTCTTCGACCTTTTTGCCGATACAACCGCTATGTTTATCTACATAAAAGATATTAATTTTAAAGTCCAATTCGAGTCGAATCAGCATTTATCATTTATCGTTCTTAGACATAATTGTGATTGATAGTAATGATAAATATCTTTATATGAATATTTTATAAATATAGTGCTTTATTAATTAGTTATATTCAACAGAAAGGAAAGAACAAAATGTGTTTCTTTCTTTCATGTAGTAAATATTCTTCACACATTTCTGTATTGATCAAGGCAAGAAACAAATTACTTATGATGAAAGAGGAACGGTGAAAAGTTATTTAATAGTAGCCTCATGCTCAAAAATTTAACATCATTTTTTTAAGTAATTAATTTTTTTATCAGCCTAATAATGCCAGTAAGCCGAAGGCCTATTCTATACTTTCAGGTCTATTTTTCAAATACATATATATTACAGTACGCACTTAATCATTTAAATACATTCAAATAAGGGCTCTACACAACCCTTATATATGTTTGAACAGTGATCTTTGAAATTAGAGGTGTACAAGTATGTCGGAAGCTGTGAATCTAGTTCCAAGTTTAAATACAATAGCAACTTAACTAGCACGTTATTTGTCCATATTCATCCTGACATGTGGAACAATTGGTAATATGTTAAATATAATTGTATTTATGCAACGCTCATTACGTTTGAATCCATGTTCAATTTATTTTTTATCATCATCGATATCAAGTTTATTCGCACTCTTTTCTGGTCTTATAACACAGATATTAGCCACATATCAACTGGATCCAATTAATGAGTCACCTGCACTCTGTGAAATAAGAAACTTTTTAATGTTTTCAACATTAACAACATCAACATGGTTTATTGCATTAGCATCAATTGATCGCTATTTTATTAGTTGTCAAAATGTTAAACGTCGTCAACT